AAAGTCGACAGCGGAGCTAAAAAAAGAATTGAATGTTTGAAATGTTCACAGATAATTTATTGTATTTTATCATAGGACAGTAAATTCACTTACAATCCTATGTAAAGTTTGTAATGTTGATGCTAACATTAAATCAAAAGTGTTGAATATAACGGTAACATGCAAGGTTGATTTAACCTTTTCCCCACCAGATTTCTCGCCCAAATCTTTCTGTACTTTTTTCTTATATTCTTCAATATTTTCGAAAATGAGTCTTAATTTTGGAGTCGACAGACAAAATTTGAATAAATTTTCGGTATTTACTCAAAAAATTTGGCTATTTTTGCTCCAATCTTCTGAAGACTATAAACAGAACTATTTTGTGAATTTGTGATAAAAAAAGGAACTGGTGTTGAAAGGGTTAACTCATGCAAACTCATATAAATATATTATGTCAGACTAACATGAAAAATAAGTTGCCGGACATAAACATAGAGCAGGTGTATGAACTATATATTGGGGGGGGGGGTGTTGTATATTTTGTGTGATTCGTATATTTGTGACAGTGAACATGACTAGTTCAGGTGTGCATTCCCTATTCAAGTTTGTAGAACTATTTTTATTTGCAAAGCTGAAGCTCAATAAATAAAAAAAAAAAAAAAAAAAAAATGACATACAATTCTGTTAAAGTGTTTTCACTACTGAGATACCACACCATAAATCACTTTCATCAAATTGAGCTGCTTTATTTATGGGTTTTGGTACTATTACGTACTTAAAATATGTACATGTTTAACTTTGCTTGAATGTTGCAAGTATATCACAGTGCCGTTAGATGTGTGATACTACAATAATTTATTAAGTATGATTTGTTAACACGATGCATCAATGTAACATTAAGGTATGAAGTATCAATTTGTCCATGTCGGTCTCTGTTACCACGGTAACATTTCTGCCGGGGTGTAAACTATCCCTACCTGGTGCCATTTTTGAGGTGGTGATGCCACTTGTTACCACGGTTCCCGTAATAGTTGGTTTCAGTGGTTGTGGAATTGTTGTTGGGATGGTAACAGCAGTACTGCTGGGACTGGTTTCACTATGGCAACCTCTTTGGCATCAGTAATGTTTGCAGCTGTTCTTTCTGTCAATTTAAATGGAACAATATGTTATGCTGTATTCCAAAATATTTTAAATAATTTGAAAAAACAAACCAGTATTTTTTTTCAGATAAACAAACCCGATGAACTGTGCGCTCAAATGATGAATTGCCATCAGTCTGTATTTAAGCAATGTGATATGAACATGTAGGATTCCTGATTTATTTTTCCACACATCACATATGTCCATTCCATGACTGCATAAAATCTAATTTCCCTCATTGCTTTCATAAACACATAAAAAGGCGGGAGCTGTTGTTCATTGTAATTGCACCACTGATTCATAGGATATTATTGTTCACACAATTTTAGATTGATTCAATCCAGCAGCTCAATTAACTGTGAGATTAGTATAGCAAGATACTCCCTACCCCTCTCCTGCTGTATTGTACCGGGGTCTACCAATGAGCTGCTAACGTGAAAAAATCAAATACAGCTCTATTTTCATACTCTATACAACTTGAATTAGCCATACTGTTGTGGAAGTAAACATGGCCTGGCCCAGTGGTATCCTCTTTAACTCTCTTGAGTGTCAGATTTATTTTTCTCGCCCGAAATTCAGTGCAAATATTTTGCATTTTGTAAATTTTCAGTAAATTTCACCACATTTTTGGGCCATGCAGACAGTTTTGGATAATACTTTTATTTTGTTATCAATATTTTATGTGTAGAGACTATACAAAATCCTTTTGTTGATGTACGTGCCATTACTTGACAATGGTGCTCAAAGGATCAAGAGACACCCTGAAAACATGAAATAATGGGGGTGTCTAGCAGCGAATATTAATGCATGGAAACTAAGGTCAATAGGGCAAGAAACTATACCAATTAGAACAGCTTGTTCTAAAATCTCAGGATAATGGAAAACAATTAAATCGTGTCCATTATTAGACAACTGAGATCACATGACATCAGCTGTTCACATGAAGTCAGCCATTTTATGAGAATAACAATGTTTCTCCATGCTTGACTGACCTGCAAGTTGATACCCTTTCAGCAAAATCATGTGACGGGGATCTGTAGCATAGTCTCTGGTTGCAACGATCTGTAACTCTCCGCAAGCCTTGTCATATAATTTTTGGAGTTCTGGCAGTTTCCGTGGCGATAGAATTGATAAATGGATCCCCCTCTGAATGAAGAGAGAAAAAAATAGTAAATTGTAGTACACAAGATCACATGGCGATTTTGCAACTATTTTTAAGAAATGAATTATTCTGGCAATTAAGCTACAATAGATAGTAAGTATCTTTGAATGTCAAAATGAATATTCTGTCACAAAATAAACCTGTATATCTTTCCAAATGGGCAATTACTGTAAAATGCTTTATTTTCGCTTGGAATTAATTTTCTCTATTTTCACTGAAGGAATGTTTCAGTAAAAATAAAATCCAGCCAATATACCTTTTTTCCTATTTTTTACATTCAACTCGTCAAAAATCAGTGAAAATAAATAATAGAAAACACCTGAATTTTCAGCGAAAATTAATTCCAGCTAAAATAAAGTATTTTACAGTATTTACATTTCATCAAAAATTAACAAGAAAATTACAATTTAGAATGAAAGTAACTACAAAAAGCAAAAGAAGAATGTAGCAAATGAATGGTATCCAGCAATTAAGGTTACTAATGAAATGTTACTTGTAACATGACTGGCCAACAGGTGCATCAACTAGCAGTTGGAAGGAAAATAAGCAGTGGAAAAGGGAATAAGGACAAACACTGTCTGTCAGTCTGTCAGCTGATATAGCTTTTCTGTCAGTGATGTACATTTCAATAGCAATCAGTA